ATGTTCCAGGACTCTTGGACCACTTCTCCTCTCTATTTATATTCACTCCCTTGGTGATCTCATCTATAGTATTATGACTTTAAATATACCATCCACATGCTAATTACTCTATTTTATTTCTTCAGCTCACACCTCTCCCCTTATACTCCAGACTCAATCTCATTTGGGATTTTGCCATCTAAAATTTGACATGTTCAAAATCAAGAACATTTTTTGGGAGAGGAGTCATTATCTTGACTGTAATAATTTGATGGGTGCATGCCTATGAAAAAAACTCAGTGGATAGAGCCTCGGCCTGTAGACTGAAGGGTCCTGGGTTTGATTCCAGTCAAGGGCACATGCCCAGGTTGCAGGCTCCATCTCCAGGGGGGGGCATACATGAGGCAGCCAATCAATGATTGTCTCATCATTGATGTTTCTATCCCTCCCTCTCTGAGATCAATGTATTAATCCATCTGACTGAGAAAAACAAAAACAAAAAACAAAAACACAAAAAAAACCCCCAAAACCCACATACTCAAAAACCTCAATTCTGAGACTAAGTCCTTATTTCCCATTATAACTCAACCACATGGCATGCCAGGACCTTAGCAGTGGACAAGTGGTAAGGCGTGTCCAGAACTTGAGAGCTAGAAAGTTGGTTATGAAAACCTGGTCCATAAAACTTTACTGTATTTGTTTTGATGCAATCTCTGTACATAAATACATATAACCAGAGAGGTAAAGTGAGACCAGGGGTAGTGGCAATATTTAGTGAAGCAATTTTTTTAAAAATATATTTTATTGATTTTTTTTGCCCCCCTCCCTTCCTCCCACACATCCCCTCCCTCCCCAGAGTTTTGTGTCCAATGGTTGTACTTATATGCATGTATAAAAGTCCTTCGGTTGATCTATTATCTCCCCCAGATCTTCCTCCCCTCCCCGCTGTAATTTGACAGTCTACTTGTTGATATAAGTGAAGCAATCTTAATGATCATGCTTTTATTATTAAGTATTTGGTCCTGAAATCAAATTTTCAGGAGGGGAAAGAAATATAGGGACTGGCAAATGAACTGCATACTATCCTAATAGCCTGGAATTAAAAGGTTCTAGCTGGGAAACTGCTGGCAGAACCATAAATACGGCCAAAAGCTTTCACACTGGCTGGGCAAACAGCAAGGATTATGAAGCACATAATCAGTTCAGAGGGCACTTCAACGGGAAGCCAGGCGCAGTAGGATATTGGATTTCTGGCAATGGGACTAATTTTAGAAAGCACCAAATGGTAGGTTTGAACCAAATGAACTTTAAGATAACCTGTGAGCGTGGTGTAAGACAGAGAATATCCTTATTGACTAGTCACTAAAGGCAGACATGTAGATTCTGATTTCTGAAACCAGTCCTAAACAAGCAGGGCTAACAGTATCATTCTTTTAGGGCTCTAAGCCATGAGTTTCCATTGAATTCTCTATTAATTTAGAGGGCAAATCCCTCAGGTCCCCCTAGTCTTGACCAGTAGCTGGCTGTTTTATTACCAACCCAGCATTCATAAACTAGAAAGCTACTTCAATATTTACAGCAAGAACTCTTGTGAAATGAAAAATCCCATCCAAGTGTCTACTAAGTTAGCTAGTAATTTTAATTAAAGCTGACATGTTGAACTTTCAAGCTAATTACATTAAAATTGTTACTTTTTGGCACCCAATTTCTTGTTCAGGTGTGGATCCTGCAATCAATAAGGCTAACTAAATAGGACACCTCCAACTGAAATCATGCTTCAGGGAACTCTAATGACTAGCTCCTTACAACTCTGAATAAATCTTTGCTAAAAACATTAGTAAGGCACTTTTCAGCCTTACCCTCTCCACTTGTCTCAGCTTCTGGAGCGCCTTCGCTCAGCGCTTATAAATCTCATTTTGTGAATTTGGAACAAGTCACAAATTCACCAGACACTTTATTTCTCTCCCATAGTCTTGCTATCTCTATAGCTTAAAGACTATTGACAATATCACAAGATATTTTGCTTTTCACTTTCCTTGGCATTTTATAATGCTGACATGGAAGACAGAACCCCATGCACTGCGGGGGCCCAGCGTTCCAAGATGGCTGACAGGTAAACACCTAGCCCCAGACGCACACAACAATTTCAACAAAATACAACTAAAATATAAAATGGACATTACCCAGAACTACAGGAAAGTCAACTGACTGGAAATTCTACAATAAGAAGCAAGGAAAAAACGAGAAGGAAGCGTGGAGGAGCTGTAAAAGCCCAAGGTACGGAGACACACGGCGCGCGCGGAGGACAGAGCCGGAGAGGGAGGCTGAGTGCCTGGTGGGCGTTCCCTAGCAGGAAGGAGATAAAACTCCGACTGTGCTGGGCCCCAGTTCTGACTGCTCTGAATCCCAGTTCTAGGCCAGATCCCGGGGACCCAGGCTCACACAGAGGGAGCTGGGCTGGGAGGCCGAACCCCGGGGGAGCAGCGAAAGGAGGTCCTGGAGGCGCACACATTGCGCGCAGAGAAGGGACAGTCGGCTGTGCCGCGGGATTGCCCTGGCGGGAAGGAGACAGGGGCTCCAGTCTGCTCTGAACGCCACCTCCAACTCCACTTCCAACTGAACTGAACCCCAATACCGGGCTCATTGGGGGAGAGCATAGACTGTTTGGCAGCAGGCAAAAATCGAGGGCACCTTTCTCTCAGAGGCACTTGCAACTAGTACTGAAGGACCCGCATAGGGCGGGGCTGACGGAAGCCAAAGCTGCAGACTCCACCCTGAAACCCCGCCCCATCCAAGCAGAACACAGAGACTTTTAAGGCTACCAACTCAGGAAAGCTGCGAAAATGCGGAGATGAAATAGATCACAAACGAAAGACATGGAGGACAAAAAGCGACTGGATAGTTCAAATCTATGCTTATAAGGTTTTTAAAGAATTTCCTAGAAAAGATGGAATAGACCTATGAGGATATGAAAAGGGATCAACTAGAATTAATAAGGAATCAACAAGAAATGATAAGGGATCAACAAGAAATGATAAGGGATCAACAAGAAATAAAGAATACATTGTCTGAAATAAAAATTATAGTCCTAAAAACAGAATGGAAGATCGCAAGAATCAAGTCAAAGATATGGAACATAAAGAGCCAGAAGACACTCCTCCACAGAAGCTAGAAGGCAAGAGAATCCAGAAAATTGAAGATAATGTAAGAAACCTCTGGGACAACTTCAAGCGAACCAACATCAGAATTATGGGGGGGTCCCAGAAGTTGAGAGAGAGCAAGATATCGAAAACATACTGAAAGAAATAGTGACAGAAAACTTCCCCCACCTGGCAAAAGAATTAGACTTACAAGTCCAGGAAGCGCACAGAACTCCAAACAAAAGGAATCCAAAGAGGACCACACCAAGACAAATCATAATTAAAATTCCAAGAGCAAAAGACAGAGAGAATATTAAAAGCAAGAGCAAAGAAGGTAGTTACCTATAAAGGAGCACCTACCTATATGATTGTCAGCTGATTTCTCAACAGAAACCATGCAGGCCAGACGAGAATGGCAAGAAATATTCAAGGTGATGAATAGTAAGAACCTACAGCCAAAGATAATCTATCTAGCAAAGTTATCATTCAGAACAGAAGGTCAGATAAAGAGCTTCACTAATAAAAAAAAGGCTAAAGGCGTTCATCAACACCAAACCAGAATTATATGAATTGAAGGGGATTCTTTCAGAAGAGAAAGTAAATAAAGATAAAAATTATGAACAACAAATACGTAACTACCAGCAAGTGAATCTAAAAACCAAGGGAATTAAAAAATCTGATGAACAATATTAACTGTTGAATAGAATAGAATCAGAGGTATGGAAGGGGAGAGAACTGACGATTCTTGGGGAAAAGGGGAGTGGGGGATGTGGGAAGAGACTGAACATAAACTGTGCACCTATGGAGGACAATGGGGGTTGGAGAAAGGGCAGAGGCTGGGGTGGGAACGTGGTGGAGAGCAAGTGTGTATGGGGGGGAGGAACATTTGTAATATGAATAAAAATTTATTTTTAAAAAATCTAATACAATGCAATAAAGTAAATGCACCTTATAATTTATTAACTAAGAAAATGTAAATTTCAAGTTGGAAGAAGCAAAACCAGAATTGCAGGAAAAGGTCAGAGGGATAATTTTGTCTTTCACAACTTTGCCTTGCTTTGAAGTTTGTTTGCCAGCTCTAAGGGTAGCTAGCCACTTGTCGGAAAGTTTTATGTAGGACCCCATTAGTCTTTTAGTATTATTCACTTAAAATTTACTGTATAACCAAGTACCAAGTAGTTAAGAGTCTCTATAAAACCATGAAATGGATCTTATATACTAAATGATTTCTAAATACAACTGAGGTCACAGCAATGACATTTAATTATCAATCTTGTATCAGGGATGCAATAGTCAAAAATGCAATTGTTGCACTTTAGACAATCTCATTGAATACTTATCTGAAGGTGTACTTTACCTCTAAGGATTTATCTAAGGTCAAATTTTCCTCGTACTTTTTGATGTCAGGATACTCACAATGTTAATTGATCTAAATACCGAGCCATTTTAATTTGGGCTCAAGAAACATTTCCAGACCCTCTCTTTAACTGTATGGGTTCAAAATAGAATTCTTCTAAGGGAAAACTTTTTAGGGAGTTTGGCATTTTGACCATGGTATTTATAGATTTGTGAACTATTTAGAGAAAATAATCATGAATGGGGACCTAATCACCCAAGATAGATCAGATGCCATTACTGTTTACACTAAATCCATTCTGTACAATGTCCTACTAGTTCTAACTCAAGATTATTTTCAGTGACCTTACTTGTGACCTCTGCCACTGTGCCCTCTAGTCTAATTATTAATCTCCATTTTTGTTTAAACCTTTTCAAATTATAATTATACCCCTCCTACCCCATTAAAGGCTGTTTCTTCATCTCCATTAAACTTTCACTCAGCTTTAATTACACATTTTACATTTAAATACTTAACCAAAGGTAAGACATTCACCCAATTATTTGATTACAAAATTCTTTAATTGGTGTGGGGGGGAATTCCATTACAAACACTTAAGTTTGACATCACTCTTAGAAACAGAGCTAGGAAGTAATCTACTAGTTAACAGGTTGTGAGCATCCAGGACTGTGCGCCACGACTAAAAATTACTCCAGATAATCTTGATCTGCATGTTTTCTTTCCATGTCCATAATATGAAGAGCTTTTCCTGGTCACGAGTTTTCCATACAACAGGCAGGTAAATCTTGTAATACTAGTCCTAGGAAAAGAAAACACTTCAGATTTACAAACCTACCAATATCAGAACTTATTAAAATTTATTTCCAAAAATGCTATTGTCCTTTTAGTGGTCTATCTCAGAAGCCAGATCCGTATTTAGTTTTTTTTCAACAGAAATTCAGGTTCGGGATAGGATCATCACAGACAAGACCAAGGACACAATGTTGACTGTTAAGCAAAATATGTGACTCACAGAAATGGTTACAGCTTAACGTCCTCACAAACTGGTCTCTTTCAACAGGCAGACAGCGACCCCTCACTGTTGGTAGAGAAAACAAAACACAAAACTATTGTGAGGTAGTTTCCCCCTTGCAGGTAACAAAAATTCATGTTTTATCGTGGTCTTATTTCAGAAGCCGAATCCGTATATGCTTTTCTTCAGGCAATCAGCTTCGGGATAGGTTTCATCATTGATTAGACCATAAACCAAAACATTACAAGGCAAGCACGTTCTTGTAAGCCACACCACTTACTTCAAAACGAATCTGACAGCCAGTGACACCCACAGCTTCATCAGTACTCATCAACTCCCAGGATGCTGTTCAAAAACAAAAAAATTCATTTATACTACATATAGACTGAACATACGCTGAATCAAAAATATTAGTCCAACACATACATACTTGGCAACTTTGTCAGGTTTTAGCCAGGTCATTTTCCAGCGAATATCCTCCCATAAGCTTTGGGATTTTCCCTTGCATCTAGTAAGAAGGAAGTAAATCTCAAACGATGCACCATCCTTTATTCTTGTCAATCAACAGGTTTATCTCTCCTGCTTAAAAACTCAACGCCCAACTGCACTTACCTTAGCATCTTCACGAAACAGCTTCGTTACACCGAGCGCCATTGTTCCTGCAGGGAAATAATCTATTTAAAACGAAGCAGTCTAACGGAATAGAGTTCAAGGTGTTCAGTACCAAAATAACCTCCCCCAACCCCCCACTTCAGTGATCCGATTTGCACACAGCGCCACCTGGCCACAGGACTACCGTCTCCGGCAAAAAAAAAAAAATCAGAGGCTGTCCATTTTGAAATAACCGTTTCATCCGGCGACATAAGACAATTGCCTTAAGTTAAAATGAACTCCTAGCCCCAAATCCTGGGAAAGTGGTTTTCCTGCCGCTGCTGGGGCTCGGCCAGCTGGCTGCCTGGGCTCAGGAATCAGGCCGCGCGCCAGCTGCCTCCAGCCTGAACGCCGAACCGTGGCCACCACCACTCGGCACACGTGGCAGCGCGGCTGCGTCCTCCCCACTTGCCGGTTCTCAATATAAAACACTGAGCTCACGCAAACCAATAAGCCTTTTTTCACAATTCTTTAGGTCCCAACTGTAGCCCTGGCCTCCGGGGTCCCCTCAAATCCTCGCCCCCGACACCCTACTCACCAAGAACACAGAAACGGCACCCAGCCCGGGCGCAAAAGAGGGAGCTGCCCTGCCAGCAGTTCCCTATATAGCCTCTCCCGAGCCAGACCGAGGCCGCCCCGCCCTCGCGCAGCCATTGGACGCGAGCAAAGGAGGGGGCGCGGCCTTTCCTGCGGGAGAATGCGAGCGGCCCCGCCCTCGCACAACCATTGGACGCGAGCGGAGGCGGGGGCGGGACCTCTCCTGCGGGAGGATGCGCGCGGCGGCTCTTTTCTTCGGGAGACTCGTTCCGGGCGCGGTGCGCGCGCCGCCCGCCCCCAGCCCGCCGCCCGCCGCGCGCCCGCTCAGCCTTCTGCGCGTGCCCGCCGCCGGCGCGCTGCTCGGGGTCCCGACCGAGCCTGGCTCTACGTGGCGCGGGGGTGGCGCCAGAATTCAAACCGACAGGCGTGGTCGGAGGCCAGGCTCCTGCCTGCTGCGAGCCTAGCTGCCGGCCCGGGACGGGACTGGGAAGCTCGGATGAGCGTGGGTTTTGCAGTGTGGGGCGGCCCCAGCCTGCGATCCGCTCGAGAAGCCGGGCTGGCTGGCGCCTGGAGCGGGTGGACGCCCGGCGGCCGCCGCTCGCCGGGAAAGAGAAATGGGCGGGTACAATAGAAATGCTCGGGAGAAGAAAGTATGTGAAAGCGCCGCGTTTCTGCTCCGGTCCCCGAGGAGGACACCCCGCCTGCGGGGAGAGGCGGCGGGCAGCGGGACACGCGGCCCAGGGCGAGGCCCTATGGCGCTCCCTCCACCCCCAGGCGTCCTAGGGGCAGGCGCTGCAGTTACTCTATTTTCAGCCTAGAATGCTCCCTGAGACAGTACATCCATGCGGTAAATATTCCTTTCCGCAGAGGAGAAAACGGAGGCCTACAGCAGACAAGTAAATTTGCCTAAGTTTACACAACTGAAAAAGCTTGGCTGTTTTTAATTCCTTTGTATTAAGTTGTAATGAATGCAGGAGAAAGATTAATTTGAGGACGATAGCAGAATGCTTTATCCAAACGACACTCACAAAGTCCTGCAGCAGCGGTGTATTCATTATTATGTGCGAACAAATATATGGGTATGTGCACACAAGCACACAGGACATTTAAACAGGGCAGCGTTTGAAAATGCAAGTCTTCATAGCACTTACTAGTTCTGCTGTGTTGGATTTTGTCTAAGGAACACATGGTTTTGTGCATCGTTCTTTATTTTTCTGCCCAGAATAGTGCCTGGGGAAAAGGTTGAATGAATGAATGTGATGGCTTTCAGAAAATTAAAGATCAAATTACAGAGTGAAAGGTAATAGTGAAAAGCAGATTTCTATAACAGGAACCAAAGTGATGAGGAATTTACTTGGCTTAGCATTATGTAGGACTTTAGATACTGTTTTGTAGTGTACAATGTAAATTTGCACATTGCTCAAAAAAAAATACAGATGTATATAAAAAGTAAAAGTTCCGTTCCATACCATTGGGAGTCTTTTCATATTAACAGTAACCACTATTAACAATTTTTGAAGCTTTCTGTGCATGTACAGATGCTTTTTTGGCTTATGATGGAGTTACATCCCAGTAAACCCCTTAGTAATTTGAAAATCTCTTTCAAAGAAAATGCATTTAATACACTTCACCTGCTGAACATCTTAGCTTAGTCTAGACTACCTTTAATGTTCTCAGAACACTTACATTAGCCTACAGTTAGGCAAAATCATCTAATACAATGAATATAACATGGAGTTTTGGTTGGTTATCCTGTGATAGCTTACCTGACTGAGAGATGTAGCTTGCTGCTGTTGGCCAGCATCAGGAGACAGTATCCTAACATATTGCTGGCCAGGAAAACGATCAAACCTCAAAATTTAAAATACAGTTTCTACTAGATTATTATCACTTTTGTACCATTTTTGGTACCAAGATTGTAAGTCAAGTTATCAGTTAGGAACTGTCTGTACAAATAAACTGAGTGACCAGATTATTACGATTTCAGAACCCATAATAATATGGCCACTCAGAGAGTGTGTGTGTGTGTGTGTGTGCACACACGCGCGTGTGCGCATGCTCATGTGCATGTATACATACAAATTTTCATAGACTTGCAGTGGCCTTGCCTACTCTAGTCATATATATGAGGCCCAGTGCATGAATTCATGCATGGGTGGAGTCTGGCCAGCCTGGTCAGTGGGAGGGGACATGGGCGGTTGCCTGACCTGCCTGCTGGTCAAACTCCTGGTGGAGGGGACAATTTGCATATTAGCCTTTTATTATATAGGATATACACTGAGTGGCCAGATTATTATGCATTTAGAGATCATAACAATCTGGCTACTCAGTGTATATGTTCATATTTTTTCACATAAGTAGGATCTATATACATTAATGCAACTTGCTTTGTTCCTTCATAAAAATCACAGACATCTTTCCATATCAGTGAATATAGATCAATATTCCTGTTTATAGCCTGCATAGCATTTAATTGGATGCCTCATAATTTATTTAACTATTTCCCAATTTTTCATTATAATATTATTGGTGGAGAGAGGTTCTTGTCCACACCAGTTGCTGGTGGGGGTGGATTTCTTGAAATAGCTCCAGAAAAAGAATTTTCTGAGACTCGGAAGGGGGAAGGGATGATAAGGTATAGTGGAAAGCGTTATTTCTGTGGAATCAAACCCCTGAGTTTCCAAAGTCACATTTTCCTTCATCTCCCCAAGGAAATAGAGTAGCTGTGGCTTCAGCGAGCTAGAATCAGTCAGTGTCCAGCCAAGCATCAGGGTAGCTTATTTTGTGTTCCCAGTTGCAGTCCATTAGTCTATTGTGTGTGGCGTCTGCATGGTCACATGGCCATGGAGGGAACACAGGCAAATGGAAGGAAGCAGGAATAAAGCCAAAGGAACCAGGGAACCAAGAGAGAGAATTCCTTTGGCGGATTATGTATCCCCAAATTTTCATGGACTTGCAGTGGCCTTGCCTACTCTGGCCAATAATCTCTATTTCCAGGTTTGATTGACATCTTTCCTATGTCATTCCAACTTCACAATACAAGCATCTATCTCCCCTTTGTTGGACCGCTTCCCCCAGTGTTTTCCAGGGAATGGGCCAGGGGTTCCCTGGTGAGTGTGAAATTGCAGCTTTCTGGTGAAGCTGCCCAAATGTCTGGCTTCCTCCTTTTTTCCTTTTCAATTATTAATAACTAGCTAATTACAGCAGTATCAATAGCGCTGAACTGAATTATAGATATGTCATTGTGAGTTTATGAGAAGACCTGCAAGATCAATTTCTAGAAGTGAATCAAAGATTATGTATGTACACTTTTATTTGTGATAGCCTGGCCAGTGTGGCTCAGTGGTTGGGTGTTGACCCATGAACCAGGAGGTCATTGTTTGGTTCCCTGTCAGGGCACATGCCTGAGTTGTGGGATTGATCTCCAGTAGGGGGCGTGCAGGAGGCAGCCTATTGATAATTCTTATCATTAGTGTTTCTATCTCTTCCTCTCCATTCCTCTCTCTGAAATCAATAAAAACATATTTTTTAAAAATTTGTGATAGATATTGCTTAATTGCTCCCACCTTCTTTCCACTTCCACCAAATTATTGTATTGTGATTATATTTGGAAGTGTGTTTCATTAATTGAAACACATGACTATTATAGGATGGCGATTATTACATAATCAAAATTGAGAATGATTGCTCTCCTTGTTATCTTTGAATCTCTACTGTCCTGAACACTATCAAAATCATCTGGTCAAAGCAATATAAAACAATGACTTCTTATAGTGACTTAGCAATTGAATTACTTGAAGAGCTAAAAAGTAACTGATTTCTGGGCCCGAATCTGGAACTCTTAAAGCAGAATCTCTAAAAGTGAGACTGGGAAACATTTTAAACAAGCATCTCGGCAATATTGTTCAATAGGAACATAACATGAATCATAAATGTGAGTTGCATATGTAATTTTTTTTACAGTCCATTTTATTTTATTTTTTAAATAAATTTTTATTGTTCATATTATTACAAATGTTCCTCCCCCTCCCCTCCATTGCTCTCCTCCACCAGGTTCCCACCCCACCCTCTGTCCTTTCCCCACCCCCCATTGTCCTCCTCCATAGGTGCACAGTTTATGTTCAGTCTCTTCCCACATCCCCCACTTCCCTTTTCCCCAAGAATCGTCAGTTCACTCCCCTTCCATACCTCTGATTCTATTATATTCAACAGTTAATATTGTTCATCAGATTTTTAAAAAAAATTTCCTTGGTTTTTAGATTCATTTGTTGATAGTTACGTATTTGTTGTTCATAATTTTTATCTTTATAAAAAACCCCCTTCAGCAATTCATATAATTCTGGTTTGGTGGTGATGAACTCCTTCAGCTTTTTTTTATTAGTGAAGCTCTTTATCTGACCTTCGATTCTGAGTGATAGCTTTGCTGGATAGATTATCTTTGGCTGTAGGTTCTTACTATTCATCACCTTGAATTATTTCTTGCCATTCTCGTCTGGCCTCCATGGTTTCTGTTGAGAAATCAGCTGACAATCGTATAGGTGCTCCTTTATAGGTAACTACCTTCTTTGCTCTTGCTGCTTTTAATATTCTCTTTTTGTCTTTTGCTCTTGGAATTTTAATTATGATTTGTCTTGGTGTGGTCCTCTTTGGATTCCTTTTGTTTGGAGTTCTGTGCGCTTCCTGGACTTGTAAGTCTAATTCTTTCGCCAGGTGGGGGAAGTTTTCTGTCACTATTTCTTTCAGTATGTTTTCGATATCTTGCTCTCTCTCATCTTCTGGGACCCCCATAATTCTGATGTTGGTTCGCTTGAAGTTGTCCCAGAGGTTTCTTACATTATCTTCAATTTTCTGGATTCTCTTGCCTTCTAGCTTCTTCGGAGGAGTGTCTTCTGGCTCTTTATGTTCCAAATCTTTGACTTGATTCTTGCGATCTTCCCTTCTGTTTTTAGGACTCTGTATAAAATTTTTTATTACAGACAATGTATTCTTTATTTCTTGTTGATCCCTTATCATTTCTTGTTGATTCCTTATTAATTCTAGTTGATCCCTTTTCATATCCTCATAGGTTTTATCGATCTTTTCTAGGAAATTCTT